TGTATGTGATAGATTTTTTCACTCAGAATGTATATTAGCGGAAAAAAACTGTGCATGCGAAGAATTGTTATAGAACATGTATAACCAACTGTATATACATGAAAATTCACACACATGACCGAGTATGACACATACACACTATTCGTGTGTCATTGACAGTTTTTCCCATGCAGTTTGCTCTCTATAGGCGTTGACCAGTTTGCACGTTTTTCTCGTCCAGCCATCCATTTCGACAATGAAAGTTTATTTTTCAACTGTTGGGTCACACTGTTGAGACCAATGAACAGTAAAAACAGCATTATAACGTTTTAATTTGTGATAAATGCTACGCCGAGGCTCAATGAAAATAACCGCTTCCGGATTATTGGTATGCTTCAAGCTGGTATGGGCCAAGCCGTTGTCTCTACACGTTTTCATGTCCCTCGAAATACAATCCGGAATTTGTGGAGACGACATCAACAGTTTGGCCACGTCGGCTATCGACCTCGTGCGGGACGTTCACGTGTGACGTCACGTCAACAGGACAACCATATTCGGCTTGTCCATTTGAGAAATTGTTTCCAAACTNGCGTAACGTATATGATGGGTCGGGTGGCGCAGTGGATAGCGAGCTCGTCTTGTCCAATATGACCGGTTTCAATCCCGGTTGTACCTGCCCGACCACGGGGGTTTTCTCCGGATACTCCGGCTTCTTCCCACATTAAGAATAAAATCCTCTGCGCGCTTCCGTCAGGTCACAAAAAGAATAATTGAAATAAGGTGGGAAAAAACTGTTCGGTAATTGCTATAGAAAAAAGTGCATATTACATATTTGACGATAAGTCTATAAATGTAACTGTATAGAGATGTTAGTTAAAAAAATAAAATTAAAAAAAAGGAAAACATTGTAATACTTTGATGTAACTGAGATTGTCGTTATATCGATATTTAGAATTCCTGTTCCATCCTAAAACACCGGATTGAATTTAAAATTTTGTAACTGTCACTGAGGTTTGACAGGTAATAATGCCAAATACAATTAAACAGTTTCTGTCTCTAACTAGCTATACATCGGCATGCGTTGTGAAAAAGTAATACGTTGCTGAAAAAGGGCGTTGAACTCGGGTTCGTTGTCTGGAAAATTATTGTTGATTCGACATAAATTAATTATGCATTGTTTCTTTTATGAGTGGTGATGCATACATGAATTATGTAAAGACTATAACCAGACTTTCCAAAATGTTAATTATTTCGTTCATATTCTCAACAAATGGAAATCAAAAGCAGATGAAATTTTAGACGAGGAAAAATAAATGTCGACGTTGACCTATTGGTTTAATGCGGCTCTTTTTGAAAATATCTCCCGGTAGAAATATTAACAGAACCTGGTTGATGACAAAATAGGATCTTCAGAAAACATCCCCGTTTTTACTTTTTTGCCTGTGGCAAAAACTGAAATTAAAAAGTCATGAAGCACCGACAAAGAGATAAATGCAACGGCCAGCAGTTCAAAGATTTTCCGGTTATCTTTCATCCTTCCGGAAATAACCGATGAAAGCCGATGGAGTGTGACGTTTTATGACGTCACAGTATGATTTATCTCTGAACGACGTTCCATGTCTGCTAGTATCAAAATGTATGTGATAGATTTTTTCACTCAGAATGTATATTAGCGGAAAAAAACTGTGCATGCGAAGAATTGTTATAGAACATGTATAACCAACTGTATATACATGAAAATTCACACACATGACCGAGTATGACACATACACACTATTCGTGTGTCATTGACAGTTTTTCCCATGCAGTTTGCTCTCTATAGGCGTTGACCAGTTTGCACGTTTTTCTCGTCCAGCCATCCATTTCGACAATGAAAGTTTATTTTTCAACTGTTGGGTCACACTGTTGAGACCAATGAACAGTAAAAACAGCATTATAACGTTTTAATTTGTGATAAATGCTACGCCGAGGCTCAATGAAAATAACCGCTTCCGGATTATTGGTATGCTTCAAGCTGGTATGGGCCAAGCCGTTGTCTCTACACGTTTTCATGTCCCTCGAAATACAATCCGGAATTTGTGGAGACGACATCAACAGTTTGGCCACGTCGGCTATCGACCTCGTGCGGGACGTTCACGTGTGACGTCACGTCAACAGGACAACCATATTCGGCTTGTCCATTTGAGAAATTGTTTCCAAACTGCAAGTTTGACTGCACGGACAATCCATGGGTTGCTACCAATAAGCCCGAGAACTGTACGGAACCGATTGCATGAACGAGCTATCCGTCCGCGACGTCCTGCAATCCGCTCAGTTCTTCTGCCACGTCATCGTGTAGCACGTCTGGACTGGTGCAGAAAGCATCTGTGATTCACTCGACGGGATTGGGCAGGCATTTTGTTTACGGACGAGCCGCGAGTCCACCTGGGGCCCGTAACTGAAAGGTCACTCTTAACTAAGAATTTACGGAATGGTTTAGGGTGACACAAAGAATGCGGGAGGAGTGTAACTGAAATGTGTTCGTAAGCCGCCCCTACCAACCTTAAACTTCTCTTAAAGTTATTACGTACGACCAGCGCTAAGAGCGGTAAATTTTCAGGAAAATAAAGTTTACCGTCTTCCGGTTTTTTTAACTATTTGCTCACACGGTCTTTTCTACGTTTGAAATGCATACTGCTTTACACTAACAGGATAAGCATTACCGTCACGCAGAATGTTGTTGTGAACCAAAAATTAAGAAAAGATGGCATCGATAAAAGAAGGGAACAAAACGTCTGTTAAGATAAGAAAACCTAATTATGAGTAATAAACTGGAGGTTCTTCTGGGAGAGGTTGAAAGGAATCGTGATGTTATTTTAGGAACATTTTCGGATACGATCATAAACGATAGAAAGAAGAAAGTTTGGAAATATATTGCAAGTGAAGTATGTGCTGAAGATGTTAAGAAAAAATGACATGACTGGAGTTCGATAGTTAAGGGGAAACAGGCTAAAATCAGGAGGGAAAGGCGTATGACAGGGGGTGGACCCGGAAATGGCGATGATGAAATCACGGGCCTCGAAGAACGTATTTTGAAAATACTTGGCGCCACTGCCGTTTATGGACTGGAAACAGAGTTTGGCGATACCATAGATTTCACTCAAACTTCATCCCAAAATATAAGGTAAGACCTAGTGTAAACAAATTGTTTCATACAGAATAGCAAGTTTTTGTTTTATCTTATTTGTGTTCATGTTTAACCATGCAAAATACCATGCTCCAGGGACCTTCTATTGCTTATTTTAAAACTATTAACTTTTCAACAAATTACAATTAGCAGATGTTCTGACCTAAATTTGATACAGATATGAAGCCGAGATACTCCTTCTAGACCGTATTTGGTATATTATGTATACACCAAATAGGGTCAGGGATGGGGTGGGGTTGGAGCTGGGGGTGTCTCTCAGTCTGTGTCTCGCATCTGTGAATGTACACACACCAAAACATGTTTACAATTAAATAGTAATATTAAGTACTCAAATGAAATAAAGTAATTTCAATTTCATTGTCGTGTGTTATTATCATTTCAGTAGGTCCCTGGAGTGTGAAGAAGAACTTTTTACCGATGACGATGAACATGACAATGCTGATGATAGTTATGGCGGACATGATGAAGGCACACAGAGACAATCAGATATTGCAAGTCAAATAGTAGATGTCGCCTCAAAATCCAATTTGAATTCATCTGCAGCATTGCCTTCTTGTACCTCAACAAGAAAACGGAAAAGGATTTCCCAATATGATTCACCAGCGACGACTGGTGCCAGTCCTTATGACATTTATAAATTAGGAGAAAGAAAATTAGCAGTTGAGGAAATGCGCCTGACTGTTGAACGCGATAGAATAAGTATTGAACAGCAGCGACTGAAATGCGAGAAAGACATGTTGGCTGCTTTAAAGAAAGTCTACTCTATCCGTTGAAAGTGACGAGAGAATCAATTTGCCAAACCGTGTCAGTACTGTGACTAGTGACTCTGTCTTTCAGTACATTCCAACATATTCTGACTATGCATACACAACCCTATAGATCAAACCATTTTTGAGGTAAGAGTTTTAATCAAAGTTCCAAAACTACTGAATTCAGGGATAGATGGACCAATTTCACTTCCGATCATGACTAATTTCCCCTTGGATGAAGGGTATTGTTGCTGCAGTGAAGACGGAAAACATTTGTAACACAATAAGTTCAAGGTCAAGGTAAGTCAGGCAAGTTGTATGGTGTCAGGTGTAAATGACAGGTTTGACAGCACTGGTACTGTTGCTGTAATGAAGACGGAAAATATATTAGACTTTTTTTGTGGAACGAAAACGAATGGTGAAAATTTTAAAAAAAATATAAAGGTAATGTATACTTTAATTTCAATTTAATAATAAAACACAATGTTCAACAAAACATTTTGTATACTGTTATTGTATGTCCAATAAAAGCATTATTACATGTATGAAGTAAATAGTTCTTTTTTTCAAAGCATTGGAAAACACCCGCCCAATCAGTCGTTCCCTTACTTGAATTCCCGAGTTGCTATCGGCACTGAACACATCGTTATCATCGTTGTCATCATCACCTTGTTCCCCGTCCTCGTCTGGCAGTTGCAAACGCCTTCGGATACATATGTTGTGTAGAACTGCTGTTGCAAGAATTACATTGCATGACCGTTTGGGGGAGAGAGTGATACCTCTGTGGAGACATCTAAATCTCATTTTCCAAATGCAAAATGTCCGTTCAATGGCACAACGTGTTCCTCTGTGGCATACATTGTAACGCCGGTCCCCTTGCGTTTGGGGATTCTGCTTTGGAGTCAACAGCCAAAGTTTTAGCCCATAGCCACTGTATCCCAGTAGCCAACCATCAGTTATAGTTCCTGTTTCAAATGCGGCACTGAAACTGCAGTTACTCCATATAATAGCGTCATGTGTTGATCCCGGCCATTTTGCCCTAATATTTAGAAATATGCTGTCGGCATTACAAACTCCTTGAATGTTCAAGGCATGTAATCCTTTTCTTGACACATATAAGTGTCCGTCTTCAGATGGTGTCGCAATGGGATTAACGATCCACCCACAGCCCCAAGGACATTGTGAAATCCCCTCATTGCCAAGAATTCTCGTTTGACATCACCTTGCTGTTGTTGATCCATAGGAAATACAATGTCTGTACGACTGCGACGGGCTAGTGCTAAAGACACGTGGTTTATTGCACGGGATACTGCCATTTTACTTACTCCATGAGCATCCCCAATAACTGACATGTAGCTTCCATATGCGTAATATCGGAGAGCAACCATTACTTGGCGCGAAACGGGGAGAGCTCGATTTCGATGAGTTGGGCGTGACAATTCATTCGTCATCATATTACACAGTTCCAAGATAGATTGCCTGTCAAGTCGATAACTTGCTATGATGGCTTCGTCACTAAAGTAATCCAGTGGTTTTTTTCTGTCCCTCAACAAACGTCGTGGGATGTTTTGTTTAAGGTGCAAAAGCATGGCAGCCATGATAGTGTTTTTTTCTGTGTAATTGAATGCAAAAAGAGGGTATGGCCACCCTTAGTAAAGTAATACATTTACCAGTTACACCATAAAACGTCAATAAATAGCTTAGGGTAATCTTAATTAAGTAAGGATGCCTCCAGATATCCTACATAACTAAGAGGGCAGTAAGAGAAGCAGGTCCCGTTGCTCTTAGCGGATATACCGTTATATTCTTAACTCTACCCTACGACTGCTATTAGTTACACTAAGGTCACTTTAAGGTGTTCTTGACACTTAAGAACGCTTTCAGTTACGGACCCCTGGATAGTAGTGACGGCCGTTCCAGAGTGTATCGTCGCGTTGGAGAACGTTTCCGTGACGCGTGTGTGGTACAACGACGTTCTTTCGGCGGAAGCAGCGTTTTGATTTGGAGCGGCATCACAGCCAACGAGAGAACGCCTCTGGTGGTTGTTAACGGGAATTTGAACGCGCTACGTTACCGTGACGAGATCCTCCGGTCCCACGTCGTTCCATTCGTGCAAGGGCAGCAACGTCACATTACGCTACAGCAGGACAACGCCAGGCCACGCACAGCTCGTGTCGCTATGGACTTTCTGGCGCAGCAGAACGTTGACGTGTTGTACTGGCCTGCTGTATCCCCCGATCTGTCGCCCATTGAACACGTCTGGGATGAAATGAAGCGCAGATTACGGCCATTACCTAATCAACCGGTGACGTTGGCTGATTTGGCTGCAGCGTTGGTACAGATCTGGAATGCCATCCCACAAGCATTCATGAACCGTCTGATAGGCTCCATGCGTCGACGTTGCCAGGCTTGCATTCAGGCAAACGGTGGACATACGAAGTATTAACTTTGTGAACTCAGTATTGACCCCTGCTGTACTCCTGAGCGGAACTTATTGATTCCATAAAGTGAAAAATGGAATGCAACTGTTAATAAATAACAAATAAATTGTCCCTGAACCATTCAAAATATGTTGTAAACCTTGGAACCATTCAAAGTATGCTGTAAACCTTGGAACCATTCAAAGTATGTTGTAAACCTTGAAACCATTCAAAGTATGTTGTTAGCCTTTTGCCTGACATAAGTACTGTATTATGGCGTGTCAAACGTTGCAATATACAATTATTTTATATATATGTTCAATAATTGAATATTGCAGCGTTTGGCACGCCATACTCTATAATCTGATTACAATTTTACTGTATGAACAATTTGTGTTGTTCCTATAGGTAATATGCGTCAGGAATCATTGTTCAAGTTGGACACTTTGTGACTGCTGATTTAATTATTATACAACAAAGCTAGGAAGGAACGGTAATATCAATTGGAATTATAAATATGAACTTTAAGATACTAATGGATTCTTATGGAAGGGTACGATAGAAAATGGGCATAACGAAAGCATTGCAAATTGTGTTTTCTATCAGTGTGTGTTAAAATCTATCCGGTCCATCATAATAACAATTCATCAGCTTGAAAATCAAAACGAACATGCAATGTCCAAAACATATCTAACGATCTGCATAAGTATGTAACTGTGTCAGCAGACAAAACATCTGATTGGGTAATCCTTGTTAATCCTACAGACATCGTTGTATTTCCTGCTTGAAAACTGATCTAGACTTGAACACCAAGGAAAGCATACTTACTCATTTTTGTAATATCAAATGACGGCTATGAAACCAAAAACGTTAACTCTTGCTGAATTCGTGGTCTTTCTTCCCTTGTAATTATTTTCAGTTGTCTCCGTACCAATCCTTCCTCAGTTCATATATAGTTGTTTTGAGAAATGGTTTCGAGGTTTTTGTTGACACCTTCGGAACCCCTCTTCCCTCCTTGTTTACGGAGGACGAAGTACTAGTTTATCATGCTTCTGTATAACAAGATTTCCGTTTCCCGACAAAATACAACTTACAAACATGGCTTGTTTTTATTGGATTTCTAAACTTTTCTGTCATGTTTTTTTGTACCATAAGTTTCAGCGCTATGACCGTATTAAGACACTGCATACCCCAGTATTTAAATAATTGTATTATGGATTTTGAGGAATTCGAAAGGTATCTTTATTTGGGAACAACACGTATTTCATCTGTCATAGTATTTTTTCCCCATTATTACACTACCATACCCCATACAAAAACCGAAGGAATATTTCTGGTTCTCTTGACAGTTTTTAGACATTAATATTTCACTATTTGACCGTTTCATCAATTTGTAACCCAATGCCGGTACATCAAATAACTGTTTTATCCCCAAGAATCGTGCCTTTATTTAACCATAAAACGTATGTCTGGTATTATTCCATCACTATCACCCTGCAACTTCAACTATCTTATTCGTTTGTTATGATCACATCAAAGCAAAAGTGATACAACTCTATAGTTATATATACACCATATCTTGTCACGAGTACCTTGATTGAGTCTGCAAAAGAGGCCAGTTACTGATTCTCATCTTTAACACCAACTAATCATCTTTGCTTTTAGTTTGTATTTTCGTTTCAAAACTAAATATTGAGATGAGATAAATGCTATGAACGTATTTTCTTTATTGATACTCCTCTGAAAATTATTGCTAAGAAACGATCAAGATTGAATTCAAGGCAACTGTAAAACGAGACTTTACGACAGGCCGTAACTCTGTGATCCAACGTCACGAATAGCTATCCCGGATTCAATCATCACTACGGTATAATGTCTATATATGTTTATTGGGCATTATTAATATAACACACAAATATTTACCAGAAATGTTCAAGTATCTGGTTAATTTCAACACTGGTTCTTTTGCGGAAATTAGGTATATGTTGTTATGCCAACCTCTAATAAAACAAATATTGATTTTGTACTCTGTGGTTGTCTTTGGAGGGAATTCATGTATTGCCCATTACACTTAAGAACTACGTTTATATTTCTGTACGATATGGAGACTGTATGAGGCAATCTCTACCCAGCGTTGTCGTTCCTGCATGGACCGTAACTCTGCGTGGAGATGACACTTCGTTAAAGGGGCATCACGCTGAAGTAACTATTTTTTGGTGGGTTTTTTTCAAATAATACATAAACATATCAAGTGAGACTCCTTATGGAAAATAACGATCGGATTCGACTGAAATAGATTCATAAAAATGATTAAATTTAAGATAATCATCGGTATTTCTACCTGTCTGATCAACGTTTTGTTCATGGATTTCCCTCTACTAGCGCATGCGCATTGTACACCATTTATTTGTAAACAAAATGACTGGCCGTGTGAAGTAAGCCAAAGAAAAGTGTTGTACCGTGTCAGCTACGAAGCGAAAAGTTGCCAAATGGTCAAAAGCTAGCGCAAGGAGGACGTTACGGAATCATTATTACAGGTGGGAGAAAATAACTGCCCTAGCAGTTAGTACGGTGCATGTATTATTCCGGATAGCCAGTTAAGCTGAAATGGAATCGACAGAAATGCTAGCGCTGTTAATGTTATGAATAAATATCTAAAACTATAACCTCGCTAGTATCTTTGTCTGAGTTTGAACACAGATGAACTTAGTTTAATATATCAATGGGCATGTATCGGAGAGAGTTTACTTTGTGTTTCTATCATTATACAACTGCTTTATGCGAAAGGAAGGGATAAGTGACTGGTTAGTTTGATTTTGTCATGAGGCCCTCCAAGGGTTAACTGTTGTGATAGCCATGGTGTATTCTGTCTCTGTCGGTACTCGTGATCGGGGTCAAATGCGATACGTGCGCTTTTAGATTTACATAATTTATAATACAACCGGGTTCACTAAAATGGTATGATTAAATTATATTGCTGAATTAAACGATTTTTTGTTTGTCTTTACATACAAGATTTAAATTAGTACTAGTATGAATACCCGGCTTCCTCTGGCGCAACGACGCAATATATAAAAAAAATCTCTCGTCGTCAGAAAGCTTCATTATCGCAGCTAGATTAAAAATGTCAAAATGACGGGCCAGGATGAATAGCTAAGAAAGGAGAACCTAATTCTAGTAAATAGGATCGCGTAACATTTTTTTTTTAAATCGTGATATTTCAACAGTTCATGTTTTCATATGTTGTTGACTTAGAATGTATGATCATGTAACAACCTTTTCTCTATAAAGAATTATTTTTCCAATTCAGATAGAATCGGAATACGTATTGAAAATAGGAGAAGAAACATTTGTTTACGTTGTAAAAATGACGCGTGCTGCCGATAACTACGGCTTCTGTTTCGGTCAAAAATGAAATGATTAAAGAAAATTTGACTCAACATAAAAAATGGTCCATTGACAAGAATGCTTTGATCTATGAAAAGTATTGAAAACATTTAATTGTCAAGTAGCTCAACACGTCCCATATCTGACACATATGCTACATGTACACGTAGTGGTTTTGCCATACAGTTTAGTGTGTGTGATGGCTAATAGTATGACTTACTAAGAGTTAGCGTATGGAGACAGTGAAAGTGGGAAAGAGAGTATACATAACATTTTATGCATGGTATAGAAACAAAAATTGGCCAAAGATATTGAGTTGTACAATGTAATAAAAAAATCACAAACGTTTCTCTTTTTATACGCGTGTAGTTTGTCATTGCATATATGCACTTTATGAAAACATTTGAAAAAGGATAATCGTCTCGTGAATATTCCTTTTTACAGAAAGGTTTGTCCCACGGTTGAAGAAAGATGTTTAGCCCCGTACAGATGTCACATGCCGGTATCAAATTTAATATATATTTATATATATATATACTTTATGTTTATGCCTATTATCATTGCTGACATTTAATTGTAAATGTATGACGAGAGAAGGCTGTGATAAATTGTAAAAACGTGTGCCCCATCCCTTGTTCAATCTTATTGGCAACAAATATGTTTAAAGCTAAATAAATTTAAATTCTGAATATTGGCAAGTGTGCAATTAACTTCTTCTAACTACTGTTCAATAAGTTTAGATACGGACTTAGAAATCATATAACTTGGTTTCGTATTGCGGTAAGAAGTTG